TTGGCCTATTTCTGTCAGGCAGGTACAGGCTCCTGAGAAGGGAAACAGGGCAGTGAAGCTGAAACCTGCCAAGCGTCAGATGGCTCTTCTCCCAGTGACTGGCAGGCAACAGCTCTTTCTGGATGCCCCATGGGGTCCCAGGCCAGGAAAAAAGAGGAAGCATAAAGGGGAAGAAAAACAACAAGCCATTTGGTCATGAATGCATGCTAAGACTTGTTCTTGCAACCAGGGTTTCAAATGGAAAATCAGAAAAGATCCCTTTCTTGGAAGCTTTGCTTTTTATGTACTGCCATATAATGGTCCGGAATGCTGTATTTTTTCAGGTGGACAGGAAAGAAGTAGCTCATACTATAGGAGGAGATCTATACTACTTAACAGGAGTGAACACATACTGTCTAATAGAAATTGGCCAATAAACATCTTCCTGATATACAAATTTAGAGCTGTAGTAGTTTTTGGTCACATATACTGTGGATGGAGCATCACTGTGCAGGGGCCTCTAGTGCCGTTTAGGGCAGCTCTAACCCATCCCAAAATGCTGTGCTTGTGTTACCATCCCACTTCAGCTTGCGTTCTGAACATGTGAAAGGACAAGGGCTCTGAAGCACTCTTTTCCCACCTATGTCTTGGTATGGAGGAGCCAGAGCTGGAGAAAACTGTACCACTGTATTCATTCATTTTCCATACCTTGGTATCCAATACACTGAATTTCACCTGGTGATGATGCAGGTACAGAAGAATGTTAAACACTGTAGTTTGAGTTCTAACTAAGTAATGATGGCAAAGGGCAAAAGATGGCTTAAAAGGTTATTGCGACTGTTAATGCAGACATGGCTCTTAGAAGTAGTTCAGCAGTCTCTGCTGCTCTTTCAAGAGGTAATTTTATTGATAACAGTGTTATTGGTAAGTTCAGAATTGGGCCACTTTGACGATTTCATTCTGTTCCTGCTTCTGTATTATGCCTATCTCCACACTATTTGAATGCCTTCCAATAATAAATGAGTTGATGACTGTGTTCATGCTCTCTGTTCCATTCTGGAGACGTAGAAAAGCATCCAATCCATGGCCGTTTGGTTTTTGTTGTTAGTTTGGGTTTTTTTCTTTTGCTTTTGCTGAGTTTTTAGTTATATGCACATACATCATTCCATCCTTATCTAAGTTAGATGATTCACACTCTGAGACACGATCTCCACATCTCCACTAGCGCTACTTTAATCTTCACTGAATTACTTGGGCCAGAAGCTTTACCTTCCAGACACAGAGCAAAATTTTCCTTATAGGGAGAACCTAGACTCTTGTCAGGAAAGTTTATACATGTTCTGGAACTAAGATCTTTACATTCCAGATATAACTAGACTAAGTAATTATTTTACTCTTCACAGTTTATTATCCTATATTCGTCTTATTTTGCAATGCAGCTGTAGGTTTTTGTTCAATGCAACATGGTATTGTGCAGGGACTTATCAGTAAAGCTACATTTTTTTATACAAAAAGAGAATTAACTCTCTTGTGGTTGTATGTTCTAACTAAAATTACTCTGAAAGGGAAGAAAGGACATTCTTTGAGCTATTATTGTTTTATGAAGTAACTTTAAGGACATCCTGAGCTGTCTCTTAGTTTACCTTTGGTATATTCAGGCCTGCTCTTATCCCTGCCGTTGTGCTGTAGGTCTAACTGCGTCTTGCTTGGTGAGCCTCATTCCCGCTTTTCTCCCATATAAGAAAATGCTTTGCTTGAATGCAACGCCCACATGAACTATACACGTGTAATGTGAGCAGCAACAATGCACACACACAAAACTGAGTTCTGCACCAGGAGAAACACACAGTCTCTACACAAGCCACATATCAAGGCCCTGTGCTGAGACACATGAGTGACCATCACTCTGTCAGCAGGCAACATGCGGGACGCTCAGCAAGGATCTGCTGGGAGCTCTCCACTCTACATTTTCATAGGCCGCTCTTGAAAAATTCCCAGAGAGCTGCACTGCAGGGCTCCGTGTAACAGGATGCCTGGGGATGCATGCAGGAACTGAGGGGCAGCTGCCAGTAGTTATTTGGAAATGGGTGTTTATTCTCCACAATCCTCCTGCATTTGCTGGTTAGCAGATACTGCTATCCATCTGCTAAGCTGGGCACTGACAACTCCTAGCATCCTGCTCCCTTTCCCTGCTGCTGAGCTGCAGAAAAAGCAGTGCTGTCTTCAGCTCCCTCATAGCTGCCAGCCGCGTCTGTTTTTCACTCACAGTGTGAGTCGTAGGAAAAGGATCTTTATTTGGTAGGTGCCGAGGCCAAGGTGCCTCCAGCCTAGGACTCCCTCCTGACTTGAGCCCCTTTGAAAATTTTTTGATTACTGTTTTTAAGCTTTATTCACTGAGGCATAGGGTGATTGCCAAGGGAACACTGGGCAGTATTTGTCATTCCTCTCTACATGCCTGACGGTCTGCTTGCTCAAGGGCACAGAGCCATTAGTACCTTCCTCCTGAAGTACACGCTGTACCACAAACTTTTGCCATGATATTCTTTCGCAGTCGAAAATTTATGATATGTCTGTTGCTTGCACATTGCAAAGCACAAACTTCAGCTAATACACCAGTTCATGCAGTATAATCTCCTGTGGAATCCAAAAAATCACAGTAAAAGTAAAAGTGTTCAAAATGACTGGAAATCTGTTCTACTTTGGAGTGAATCTTTCTGAACTTGTGAAAGCCCATGTTGTTGCACAAAGGCAAGACATCCTTGGCCATTTAACCACCATCAGATCCTATCCTGGCTCTCACATACTAGACTTCAGTTGTCTAATATCACAAACAGCCTCTGAAGGAAAAGACTTTGTAAGTTCAAACACTTCAAAAAGATAACAAGGTTGCCCTCTTGTACTTGAAGTACTTTGCTAATATGCTGAACATTTTTAGAACTTAACAGCTTAGTATTTCAATGGAAAAAAGCATCAGTAATTTTTTACATGGTTATAACCACAGATGTGGAACTGGTCCACTAGTCCACAGTCAGACACTGGTGTTGCACTCCCAAGTCTGAATTATGGAAGATGCCACTGGGATGTGATTTTTCAGACAAAGGCAGTGCAAGTAACACTCCTTTCTTCAGTTACATGCATACACCCTAGTGCTGCTCTTCCTTCTGTATAGTTTTGTCATACAAGCCAGGCACACTACTTTACTGAGTCACATATTGGTAATTCATTCAGCACAGACAACCTGGTTGTTTCATATTAAGCATAATAAAAGAACAGTAAGCAAAAAATCCTGAAGCCTCAAAGTGCCTATGCACAAGACTGAGCCACCTCCAAGACCATGATGTCACAGAGAGGTCTCCACTTGCATGGCATCAGTTCATATTTATGATATGCTACGGTATAACTTAACAAAGAATGCCTTTCAAGAATCACTGAGGACTAGTTTTCAGCTCAGTAAATCATGCCTCAGAGGAAGCTATTTTTGCTTAAGCACTCATAGATGCACAATGACCGTGCAGCCGGCTCCACTTCTGCAGAAGCGACTATCCCAAATGAAGGAGGAAACATTACAGAAATCCAACCCTTCCTGCCAACCCTCCCAACTATCCAAACTCTGATGGTTTTACCACTCTAACTAGGACCTGTGGCTAAGAAATGCATTCATCCTGCGGTCACCTCACAGAAAATAAGAAGGATAGTAAAAAGTGAGACAGGTGGAGGGAGGTACCTATCACTTTCTCCAAAGTGATTAGTCTTATGCATTTGTTTTCAAACAAAAATCTGCAAAAGTGTCTTGTTGGCCTGTTCAAAGTTGCCATGACCCCACAAGATCTTTCAGCTGACCTCAAAGAGTGTTGCCTGGGAAAAGGATGAATGCACGTATTTTCAGCTGTGCTTAATTGGCAAGCCTTTTTGTACAAGGTTGAGGAATTATAAGAAATGGACAAAAAATCTCAAGTAGAATACATTCATTCTCACCTAGTATCTTTAATTTTTCTTTTTATATTAATCTAGATTACGTTTTATTTATCAAATCTGCCATATGAATACCATCACATTACCCTTTAATTTCATCAAGAAGCGTAGCTACTGAATGTTTTATTAATGACTTGCTCTTTCAGTGGCCAATATATTTTTTTCAAGGCAACTTGTACAATGCCTTATGTAACATAAAAACAAAGCAAAAAAAAGAATGTTGAGTGTATTAGGGTGTTAGGTTACTCTTATTTTTAAAAAGTTTAACAAACACAAATGCCATCAGGTCCATCAGGTTCATTTTACCACTTCTGCAATACATCAATAACAGGAAATTCACATGCTACCAAAGTGATAACAAACAAATGTAAATGGTCATGCGTACTAATGCATGTTAGTTTTTCAACTCCTATCAATTATTTTCAACCAAAAAGTCAAGATAGCTGAAGAGCCTGATCCTAGTTTTGCAAGCTGATCCATGCACACAGCTTTTAACTTAAGACACAGGAGTTCTGGGTGGATGCAAGATCTGTGATGGTGGGTCACTTTACAGGATGGGTACTTTGTTAGCAAAAGCTGGACTAATTATGATGACAAGTGGAAAATGGTTACTCATGAGGTTAGACCACCTTGGAAGCAACTAGACTACACTGCTTGCTCCCAGACCTTGTACAGGATGCCCCAGAGCAAAACTGGTAAGTTATGGAATAGCTTCCTTCAAGCACTTGCAAGTTGTATAATTGCAGATTATTCCCTTAAGCCCTAAAAAAAGGTCTTCTAGATGCACAGTTTAGAAATTAATGAATAAATATAATGATATTTCAAAAATTTTCATCTACTCTAATCCTCTTTTAGTCTATCAATTTGTTTTGCTACCACTTTACTAGAAAATGAAATGGCAGAAATCTGAGTAATTTCAGTTATCATTAAAATACTGTATACAAACAGGAAAAGTCAGAATAAGGCATTCTCAACACAAATTTGAGGAACATACATTTTCATGCCCAGTGGAACTAACATTTCGATTTCTTCCCAGAAGTAGTGGAATGTTTTTTGCCTATAAATCCCCAAATATTTTTGAATTTTACAGATGAAAAGCATTATTTCATACATCAGTTTTAAAAGCATTGATTTGGTATTTCCTTCCATTTTGTCGAATGCCGGATTATGTATCTGGAAAGAACCAGTTCAAAGAAACTCACAACATACAGAAGACACCTACTTTCATAAAACCAAATTCTATAGTATTTTGTTTCAAATGCCATCTAGAAACACTGGATAGATGTATATGAAGTATATGCACTACGGTAGGTAGTTATTTTATCCCCATGTTTTCACCTGCCGGTATTACTGCAAATAACACTGTTTCCATGACATGCCTTATGGAACAGTTTACTATTTTCATAAGCAGTCACATGCATTGAAGGTAGGATCACCAGCCAGTGCATTTGGCACCCCAAAGCAGAACCAGAGAGGCCAAGCTTACGAATCTCTCTTGCTGAATGACAAATTAGCTGGTGTATGAAATGACAGATCTCAGCTGGAACAAGGAAGCACATCGACCTAAGACATTTCTTCTGGAGCTGCTTCTGCTTCCTGAGTGGGTTTCTCTTCGGGTTTGCTGTCGTGGACAGGAGACGGGTTACGGCTGGGCTTGTTACTATCATGCGTGCTGTGACCGCTGGCACTGCCGAGGCGAGTAGATGCCACCACAGCTTTTACTGCAGCCTGTGAAAGAGAAGATCAAGCAAACATTCCTTAAAGGACATGGTGTGTCAGCACTGCAGCCTTAGCACCATCCCATTCAGGAATCTAACCTCATTTTAGTCTTCATGATAATGTCACATTCAGATACCTGCCTGGGCCTGGAAAGATTCAAAAGGCTTCCTGAAATACCAGATGGAGGCTTAAAATTGTTGTTTTCAACAACAATTGGCTGTAAATTGGCCAACATGAATGTTTTTTGGTTTGTTTTTTTTTTTTCATGTGAAATGTTACATTTTCTTTCAGAAATTACTTCGGATCTCCTGTGCTGAAGTTAGAAGGCCAAAAGAAAACTCTCTTCTGTCATGATAATAACAGAATTATCAGTGATTGTTCCATGAAAAGTTCACAGAGGGAAACAATATTTATCACTACAAACCACATTTATCACTACTGCATATACGAAGCACAATGGTGCAGAGCATACAGGTAACTTTCTATGTATAAATACACATTGGGCATATGCTCTCATATCACACAAAATGGGACAAAATGAAGACATGCATTATCTTAGCCCTTGCCTTGAAGAGTTGTATTGTCCAAAAAAACAAACGCTGAAGTGATGAAGAGAAATGTATGACAATTCTATTTCTGACTTGGGTAGCTTTTTACTTAGGTATCACAGAAGAAGCAGGTCTGCAGGAAGGGATAAGGAGTATAGCAAGACTTGTGGATGGTTTGGCAAGGTAATCATGCAAAAAAAAAAAAAATCTTGCGGAAAACCAGGCTACATGAACAGCAGCAAGAAAGAAGAACAGAAGAATCAGCCAATGTAGGATATGAAGTGAAAGTACAAGACATAAATCAATAAAAATGGCAATAATTTTGGAAGTGAGAATCAAGACCCTTAAAGGATATCCACATTAGTGGACTTCAGACCACAGGTTACAAACAGAATAGGCTGCTCAATGATATTAAAATGTAGACAGTTTTAATTTACTCTCAGTAGCCATGTGGGTGTTTATTAAACAAATTTAACACAATCTATTAAAAAAACAAAGCATCACTGAGATTAGAGTTATCACTGAGATTAGTTATCACTGAGATTAGAGTTATTATATACGAACAAAGCTGGCTGCTGGACTCATATGGTGGGAAAAAGAGGGTTATTTTATACTCTTCTAACAAAATAACAACTAAAGCATGTATTCACTACATGGTTTTCCACTTTGGTCTAACTTTTTTGGACAGGAATTAATTGCCTAAAAATTTATGCTTCATTTTATACATATATATGTATAAAACTATTAACTCCACAATAATTGATAACTCCAGATAATGCTCTTAATAATGGGAGGTCATTTAATTTTTATTAGAAAAGCAATGAGGAAATAAAATTATAAAAAGGAACTGCTTTTAAATACTGAAGTATAAATTGGTTGACTATGGAGATCTGAACAAAATGGGCTGCAGAAAAATCTGGTTGGTGATCAAAGATCAAAGGTGTAAAATATAAAGACAGTCAAAATCAAAACATATGAAAAGCACACACATTTCTCTGTGACCTCCTGGGGAGGAAATGTACCAGCTCACTCAGAAATTATGAAATTTATGACTCTGCTCATGCTCTGAAATCATGCTGATATGACAGCATTGCACAGCATCTTCACTGAATATACAGCAATCCTGCTGTAATGCTACAGAAATCTTTCTGAACGATGTTCATAGACACATTTATTCAGTTCTGCATGTGCAAAGCATTACTTTGAATTATATCTACAGTGTCTGAGACCTTTGTAAATAATAAAAATATTTTCTTTACCCTATAGAGATTCCCTGTCATGTCCCTAATAATACTGAAAAAGGAGCAAAAACAACCTTAAGAGTCATTGTTTGTGGATTTGGTTTTGCATTGGGGCTGTAAAGCTCTCAGACAAGATACCTTTTACTTTTACTCCTCCAGGCTACACGGCCAGATTCAGTGTAGCTCTTGGCAATTATTTCTGTGCCGAAGTCTCTCCTAAGCAGACACGAATCTTTAAGAACTGAAGAAGACAACAGGGGAGAAGAAAGTTTCTCAATGTTATGGCAATTAAATGCCCAGCTGCCTGCTTTTTGCACCTAAAAATGCTTCCCTGCTTCTTCTCATGATAAATACGTAAACTAGATGGAAAAGGAGCATACAGGTGACATAGAACCTAATATTATTTTCAGCACAGGTCCCACTTGCACTTCTGCATTATAGTGCTTAATTTACAGATACAGAGTGCTATTGCACATTTGCGTCCTTGGGGCTTATTTATCTCAAACCACACATTTTATAGACCTACACATCTGCAATGCTCTAGATCATACAGAAAGATGACTTAAGCTCCTGTTTTATATTGACAGGTATAGAAACTGAGGGTGGCTTACAGATCAAAACATGCTATAGCGAACTAAATATCTTCCAGATTTATGGATGCTCATGAAGTAACTCATCAGAATTTTGTTTTTTCTGGTCAGCAATCTAGGGATGCCCAATCAGTACAGCATGCACAGAAGCAAAGAAGAAAGAAGGGAAGAAAGGAAGGAAGGAAGTTACAAAAGCTGTGTACATCCTCAGCAGTTCTGTCTGTGTAGATAGAGTTTTCAGCCAACCTCAAAAATTTTTATTTGTTTAGATGCAGACATTGACTAAAACAGCTTTTCCTTTTCCATCTTCATCAGTCATTTTAAATAAAAAGCTTCCAGAACACTATGGAATGTTGTCCTGAAAAGTGTGCAAGGTTTCTGTAAGGCCACTAATTTAGTTCCATGCTTTCATAGTCAAAATACAGACTATATATAGTCACTTGCCTTAAGTTTACGCCGGGCATTAAATTCTTGAAGTTTCTTCTGTGCATTGTCCATATGTGCAAAGTTTGCTGCCTTCCCTGTGACCCATGGGTGCTGCAAAGCCTGTAGAGTGGTGAGACGTTTCTTGGGGTCTAAAACAATCAACTTTTTCACCTGCATCACAACAAAGAAAGTCAGAAGATTGTTAACCTTATTCTTCATTTATATTAACTGAGCTTTGAATTTTGAGACTTTAGTATTGGTTTGGTGAAACACATTCCAAGAAACCAAGAAGAATTTGCATTCAGGTCTTTGCACATATTTTGTTTCTGGCATTTCTTGGCCCTCCATAAATAACATCTGAATAACACAGCAAATAAGGCAGAAGAGTACAGGAAGAGAAGAGAAAAGAGAAGAGAAGAGAAGAGAAGAGAAGAGAAGAGAAGAGAAGAGAAGAGAAGACAAGACAAGACAAGACAAGACAAGACAAGACAAGACAAGACAAGACAAGACAAGACAAGACAAGACAAGGCAAGACAAGACAAGACAAGATGCAGTAATCCAGGAGGAGCACTAAAAAGAATCAACTGGTTACCAACATTTCTAAGAGTACATAATAATGCAGCTGACATGTATCCACCACAGGCTCTCGTATGACTGAATTATTACATAAACCCTAAGAGATTGTCAAAATACCACCAGTCAGGCAGTTCTTTTAGCAGTATCCCCACTTTTGGGTTTAGATGAGGCTTAAACTGGATTAGAAAGTTTAAACTCTAGTATATGCAACTCATACAGACTTGTACCCTGCACTCACTGCCAGGTACATCACAAACGCAATGCTTCTTTCCAGTGACCATAAAATATCAAGTACACATGAACAGAAAAGTAAAAACTGCTGGGCACAAAGTGTGTCCAGTCAGGAAAAGTGATGTTTAAAAAAAAAGAGGGGTGAAGTTGGACTGAAGAAGTACATGGATTGTAGTCAGCAAAGCCACATTTATGCAGCCCTCCTGAGTGCACAACCTCATGGAGCAGAGTGCAAGTGATGTGCTCAAGTGTGAGGAGAGGACTTGCTTTATGGCTGTCTGAAACTTCCCTACAAAGAATTCTTAAATAAAGACAGTGCCCTGAAGTGAGGGCCAGAAAACAGGCATCAGGATGAGTACCTGCTATGCATCTACAGATGAGGTCAAGTGAAGCAAATCACTTCAACTGAACATCCCAAAACTGCTCGCAACATGAGTTTTGGGATTCATGGGCTTTATTCTTATCTTCAACTTGCTGTACAGTGTTCAAACCTGAAACCAAGCTTTACTGTAGCAAAATGGTAGGAATTAATTTGGATCAAAGTTCTCTGTAGACAAAAAATGAGCAGCTTTGCTGAAAGTTGCTGTTTTTCAGGTTTTGATGACACAGGGCAGTAAATGATACTTTTCTGATGTTAAAAAAACCCTGCACATCTACTACAGAAAAGTACTTTGAACTGCTACAGTCCTTCTACAAACACTAGTTATGTAGTACTTTACGGCAGTTTGTATAACTAATATGGAACTGTGCATGTGAGTCTTCAGTGCTAATGAAATAAGTGAATTTTGCAAGTGATTGTTACCTAAAAATCAAACAGAAGCACACCTATCTTTGCAGACCAGTATCTCCTGGATCCAAGTTTACTTTATCCAATAGTAAAGAATACAGTGCAGATAGCATGCCAGCCCTTGCATTTTGCTAATGGACCTTATCTAAAAGTAATGAGTCTTTCCTCAACTACTGAGAAAAAGCTTAAAGGGACAGAAAAAGACTGTCAGCAGAAGTGGGGAGGGGGTGGCTTCACTCCTTTTTATATTCTTCCCCCAAAGGTGATACCTGAAAACTGCACAAAATAAAGGGCTTGTTTCTACGTTCCCCTGATGGTGGCTGCCCTGCAAAGAGGAGCAATGAAACATCTCAGAGCAAGCATCACAGGCAGGCATACATGAACACTGTAACAAATGTCAAAGATCTGTAGCTTAGTTCACAGAACGACCTGAACATCTCTGGTTTTGAGTGAAAAACTACAGCACTGGACTAAGAAGGGATATATAAGAGCACCATAATATAGCAGAGATAAGAAGAAGAAAAGCAAAGAGCCTTATGAACAACTGATTAACCTATTATTCTGCCTTCACCCCAGAATGGACTCTCTTTCTCCTTGGAAGTGATCCTAGACAAACACGTATCAGCAAAGATGCTCTGGTCTCATTTTTTCTTTACTTACTAAATCCTTGGCATTCAGAGACACATCATCCCACCAGGGGGACACAAAGTCATATTCACAGTTCAGGATTCTCTTAAACATGTACTGATCTCCCCTTTCATCATAAAATGGTTCAAAGCCACAAAGTCTGCAAAGATAAAAAAGAAAAAAATTTATCAAAGATAATCAGTCTTGGGTTGCTAGGAACAGTCCCTGGTATTATCTTTCTTCTACAGAGCTGAGCAAAGTGTGGTAATAAGCATTTATAAGCACTGGGAAAGGCTGATCAAATGTAAATTTTCCATTTTCACATGTCTGTAGTTGGAACTATTGATATAGGGATTTAGCATTAGAGTAGTCACGCAACAGCTGACACATGTTTGCTTTCCACATGCCAACAAATATTTTCTAGCAGCTCTTCACTCTGTTAGTCTCAGGCCGAAGTCCCTTGGACTATTTAGTCATCTCTCAGTCTGAAACCTTTGCTCATCCCTGCTCTCTCCTGTTAAGTCTTCTCTAGTAATGCATCTTTTTGACGCATATGCAAACATGATTCAGTGTGAGCATACTAGAGAGTTGCAGACTAGCATAATGATGTTTTCTATTTTAATCTCCACTTTCTTCCTATCAATTCCTGACTTGGATCTGCTTTTTTTTTGCATTGTTTACAAACACAGAGTTAACATGTTCACAGAGCAATTATCAGAATCCCTGTAACTCTTTCCTGAGGTGTCTTGGCTTAAGCTCTCATCTTTACTTAAGTAACCAGCAGATTATCAAGAAATTCTGTAATCTCAGTAATGACTGCATTTATGAATATACTGGATGATACAGATCCTGACACATGTCCACACTGCTGGCCCTGGGCAAAGCAAACTCATAGAAGTGGTTTCCATTTACATAATGTTTTGTCACTTCAGTGCACTTTAATGACGCCTTCACAGATAATCAGAACTTTTAAACAGAATTCCCTATTCAACCACGAAGTGTTGAGCTAAACAGAAAGTCTACCCGCTACTCTGCCTCCAGAAGATTCGACAAGCAACGATATGACAGAAAAACAACAGCAGACTGTAAAGAGCAAGACACCAACAAACCTAGAAAATTTAACCTTATATTTTAACTTTGTTTTATATTTTTAAACCAAATCAGTATGCTTACTGTCCTGAAAATGCAAAGATGTTCGAGAAAGAAATGTGTTTTGGAGAGTAGTGTGTAGCCACGGGTGGAACAGCTGTATCACTCTTCACTGTAAGCACATTCTGGGCGTGTTCTTTCCAAGTCTCGCAGAGATGGACTGAAACACAAGGATCCAACTTCCAAATACTGTGTGCTTCAGTAGGTGAGAGCTGGTCACAGTCCTCTCATTTCCCTGCCTCTCCCATCACTAGTTTTGCATTTGCTTCAGGTCAGCTCCCATCCTCACGGAGCACCTTTGCTGAGCAGAGTTGTTGGGCCACTAACTGGTTGAGCCAAAACTGGCTTTTGGATACCAGGTAACTGATGACATAGAGTGAGACCATGCTGTGACTGTGTTAGAAGCTTTCTAAGCGATTCTCTATTTACTCCTGAAAATATTTTCATTGTAACTCACTATTATCAGCTATAGTTGTCTTATCAACAAATTTCTATGGATACGCTTCTACCTAAAAAAATTCCATTTCAGCAGATTTTTTGCTTACATGCCAAATTAGATTAATAAAAATAGAGGTGTGAATTCAAATTAGATAAATTTAACCAGAGTAAGGCCCAGCATGACTGCTCTTGATTACATTTTGTTATGAAATTTCACTTTATTATACTGATTAATTTTAAATCAGTTACCTACCAAATAAAGAAAAATAAATGTAAACAGCATCAAAATCAATTAGAAATAACCAGACAGTGTTTTGTGCCCTTTTAAGTAAGTTAGTAAAAAAACACCTTTATTTAAATCAATGCAATTTTGACTACAGGCAAAGCCTCTGATTTTGTTGACCACAACCTGCATCTTAAATCTGCAGTAGCATTTCTAACCTGTTGCAGGAACAAAGAAGGACTAGAAATCCACTATAAACATGGCTTCCCTGAATTTATGCCAGTTATCATCAATAGTTTTTTAACATGTTTGTGTCTGGAGAGGTTTTTTAGTAGAGAGGGGAGAGCTGCGGAGGATGACTCTTGCAAAACTTCGAGAGCCTCTCCAAATCCAGGTAAAAGTAAGATCTGCCTCTGGCCAAGACAAGGCCAATCAGCGCCTCTGCAATCAAGATATTTTAGAGGGGAAAGCTGTACGACAGCCTCTTTTTATTTTTGTATCTTTGTCTCTGTGTCCTGTCTTTTGTGTTTGGGAGTTTTCCTGTTTGGAGGATGGGAGGAAAGCAACAAAGAAAGTGGTTAGCAAGGACAAAAGAGGGACGAAGAAGGGTGCTGGAGCAGATTTTTCCTGAGTCTTGTGCTGAGATGTTGGCAGGATGATTGCCCGAGAACCGAGTAGACTGATGGCGGCGAAACGTCCAGGATGCTGTGGTATGGGGAGGACCCATGCCAGGGGCGAGTGAGACTGTGCAGGAGCAGAAGGATGCACCCAAAACACCCTGCGACTCCAAGGTCAGTCCCACACTGCTGAGAAGGACTCATGTGGAGGGAGAGGATTGCCTTCCCTGAGATGGACACCATGTGGCAGCTGGGCAAGACTGCCAGGAGCCCTCTTTCCTAAGGAGGAAATGGTCATGGACAATGAGTAACGGCCAGATGGACCACATCCCTTCCCCCAAACCCCCCTTGCACTGATGGAGGAGCAGAGGGAGCTGAGAAGAAACGAGGTGTGGGGAAAGTGTATTTAAGATTGGGTTGTATTTATTTTCTCTTACTCTCATCTAGCTGATTTGGTTAAACTCATGGTAGTAAATTAAATTTCTCTTTTTCCCCCCAAGTCTGCTCTGGTTTTTGCCCTTGACCTTGAGTGGTGAACAAACCCTCCCTGTCTTAATCTCAGTCCCTGTGCCTTTTCTGTTGAATTTTCTCCCTCTCATACCTAAGGTGACAGGAATGAGGGGAGGTGTGAGCAAGCAGCTATGCGGTTCTTTGTTGTCGGCCTGGGCAGCCAGTTCAAACCGTAACAAGGTCTTAATATAATTTGCCTCAAGAATAATTGTTCTGTCAAAATATTCATCAAAGTTTTTCGTAATAATATGGTAAATCCATTTCACACTGGGGAGAAGATACAGTTCTAGGCATGTCTTCTGTAGCATGGTAATTAGCTCTTACATCCACTCTATTTTGCAGGCTCACAGAGAAATGTATTTTTTCAACTGCACCAAAGTGCATTTCCTCTACTAAACTATGACACTGAGATATGCAATACTATCCTTTAGGCTGCAGGATTCATGAGTTAGTTACTGTACATGTAACTTTCTGGACTCAGCTTCTAAATCATCAGAGATGTTGATCTACAAAGCTTTACTCAACAGAAGAGTTTTAAATGTGGAATATTGTTAAAGCTAAACGGAAGAGATACTAAAGTGCATTTGACTAGCACCTTTTTTGCCTGGCTTGTTCCTGTAGGTCAAATTGGATTTTGAGAGTGGGGGAGGAAGGGAATAGAAGAAGGAAGAAGTAGAGACTATCTGTACTGGTAGTGTCCCACCTAGAGGAGGAGCTCACATGCTTGTGTTTACACCAGTTCAGAAGTTTGATGTGGCTTGGGAGCAACTCCTGAACACCTGGAAGGTTTTGAAAGGCTGCACATAGCAAATGCCACTCCATATATTCAAATAGCAAGCTGCTGCGTGTTGTCACTTGGAGCTTGCCTGCACTTGAAAGCAGTTTCTGCTTAAGGAAGGCTCGCAGTTTCAAGTGTAACAGCTATCCCTCCGTTGTTGAATAATTAAGCAAGTTGTACTGGCTTCAGCTAGGATAGGGTTAATTTTCGCTTACAGCTGGCCAGGGGCACAAGTGGGATAGCTTAGCCAACTAGTCACTAGCCAAGGATATATACCACCATCCTGGGGGTGTCTACCCCACAGGAGGGGTAGAGGGAACTGGCAAGGCCAGGTGTCTCTCTCTCTCTCCCCCCTCCCCCAAAAGCTCAGGATGTGCAGGGGCTGTGCAGTTGGTTAGATATCTGTGCTGCACATTACTTGTGTTATACACTATCTAGTTAATGAATTTCCTGAGATGATATTTATCAACTCTGGAAAAGGGGTCACCACCAGTGAGTGCTGCTGTGCCAGACATGCTCGAGCTGCCATATGAGCTAGAGTCAAAGGCTGCAAAATGGTACCACCACCATTGATATCACTAATGCATTTTCCTCAGTCCCTCTGGCAGCAGAGTGCAGGCCATAGTTTGCCTTTACTTGGAGGGGCATCCAGTACACCTGGCATCGACTGCCGCAGGGGTGGAAACACAGCTCCACCATTTGCCACAGACTGATCCATACTGCCCTGGAACAGGGGGAAGCTCCAGAACATCTGTAGTACATCAGCGACATTATCATATGGGGCAACATAGTGGAAGAAGATTTTCAGAAAGGGAGGAATATAATTCAAAGCCTTCTGAAGGCCGTCTTTGCCATAAAACATAGTAAGGACAAAGGGCCTACACAGGAGATCCATTTTTTAGGAGTAAAATCATAGAATCATAGAATCATAGAGCAACTCAGGTTGGAAAAGACCCTTGGGATCATCAAGTCCAACCATTAACCCTACACTACAAGTTCACCCCTAAACCATATCACCCAACACCACATCTAAGCAACACTTAAACACATCTGGGGATGGTGACTCAACCACCTCCCTAGGCAGTCTGTTCCAGTGTCTGACCACTCTTTCTGTGAAGAATTTCTTCCTAATGTCCAGCCTAAACTTGCCCTGTTGCAACTTGACACCATTCCCCCTGGTTCTGACCCTAATTACCTGTGAGACCAGAGCCAACCTCTCTACAATGTCCTTTCAAGCAATTGTAGAGCATGATGAGGTCCCCCCTCAGCCTCCTCTTCATCAAACTGAACAGACCCAGCTCCCTCAATCGCTCCTCATAAGGTCTGTTCTCCAGCCCCTTCACCAGCTTTGTTGCCCTCCTCTGCACTCACTCCATCACCTCGATATCTTTCTTATACTGAGGTGTCCAAAACTGAACACA